CCACGTCCTGAGATTAAGTAAGGAATTGGTTATGGTTATAAAGAGATTCGTCGATTCCTTACACTAGTGAAAAAGTGTAGCATATACGATGAGGATAATAGGGCTCATTCTACTTACTATAATGGTATTAGTGGAGGAAAGGGAAGAATCACTATAAGAGAATCATCTGGTGGTGCAGGTAGGTGAATGCGTGGTTGAAGGAAATCTTATAAAGATTGATTGGTACTACCTATACCAACAAGATGAATCTTCTTTTCGGTAGCTTAACAAATAAGAATTCCATAGTTAAGCGTGGTTGACTTTAAGTAGTATTTGGATGGGTGAGCATCTCAGAAGTTTTCCAAAAGCGTGTGAGTGAGGTTAAAGCATGCTAAAAAGACATGTGTTTGTTTGTGGAGTTAATCGATAATCCTGAAAGAAGTATGGGGTGTTACACACATTGTCTAAGATATTGTGTCCCACATTTGTCTTATGTAGAACATAATTCCAGTTAGCATCAGAGCATTCACCCTGTTTTATTTGAGTGAGCTCTAACGAAAATATTTTTTTTTCAAATGGACAATTCTAAGGAAGGAGGATCAGTCAATATACCATGTCTTTTGAATGGCACAAGCTATGATTATTGGAAAGCTAAGATGTCTGCTTTCCTTAAATCCATAGACAACAAAACATGGATGGAACCAACTCTTTTGCATTGCATATCCTCTATTCAAAACTTGTAATTGTGAGATTATTCATGCAAAATCATCATGAACCATCATCATGAAGATACGATCGTTGAGCTTGGAGGCTAGGTAAATAGAGACAACTACTTCACAACTGCATCCACTATTATGAGAGAACCATCATCATCCATACCTTACCCCTTCACTACTTGGTACATCCACCCTGAAAGCCAGATGATTCATTCTGCAGTCAATCACATTCTTTTTTTCTAAAAGGATCAACTTTAGCCTCTTAATTCAAGCTGATGTAAAAATAGTATGATTGATAGAAAACAAGAGCCTATTTTGAAAGACACATGAAAATTCAAGCTGGTCCAAATTTTCCGCTTCTTGAAAACAAAAAACACATGAAAATTCAAGAATTGAATTGATAATACCTCTTTTTCTCAATTAATATTTACTTGGGAGTCTATTTTGAAAGAGCCTCCATCCAAAAGCTTTAACTTTGAAGGGAACATAAATTTTCCAAAGATTGGAAAAAAGCTTCTTCATGAATTTTTTCTTGATCTTCTACAAACCTGTCAACGGAGATCAAAGCATAATTGAATTTGACAGTGTACCTTTCCAAGTTATCCAATTTCCATAAAATTATATCTTTAGCATTTCTCTTTGGCATATGCTAGGCCGAAACCAGAATCAGATCCTACAAATCAGTATGAACGTGATCCTCGAACAAACTTGTGATTCCTAAATCTCTCTACTGTCAGTCATTGTTGTTCTAGCTTCCCATGTTCTTCACCATTGCCTCTTGCTTACTTCTAACAAGGAACAAGTTAGGAAAATAAAAATTCAAACTATTATTTATGCACTAGTTTGCCAACCAGAACAAAGTGTCACTTCCTCAAGCTTCCATTAAAAATTGAGTATTCTTATTCTTCATTCTTTCTTTCCAAGTTCAACTTTGAAACTTGCGTTTTTTTTCCTGTTTTCTTTCACCCCATTCTAATGAAATTCACCATTTCTAGTCTTCATATGCTTTGCTCTCAATGATTAACAATGCTGCCACGATTTCAACCACAACCCCAAAGTGATTTAGTTTACTATGCACATCCTAGTGATGATCCTGAATCAATTACAATTTCATCAAAAATCGATTGCAAATGTTATGTAGTTTGGAGCAGATCTATGCGTAGAGCCATTTGAAAACCTCTGTTTGGTTATATAGGTTCAGTTTGGAAAAGTTCTAGTTGGTTATTGAGATCATTATGTCAAATATCTACTTGGTTAGCGAGTTATGCCCATGAAAAGTCACTTTTAATTGAAGATAAGTTGGTGTAAAATCTCTTGATTCACTTGTATTAAAGATTTGTGAACATAACTTGTAAAAAATCAATATTATAGTCAAATCTCAAGAACATCTCTTGTGGACAGGATTATGTCAATGTTTGGCCAAATCTAGATAACTTTCTGGTGCCATCTCTCTAGCTTTATCTCTTTTATTTTCTTTAGTCCTTTATTTATTTTTCGCTACCTTTTCTCTCTTGAATTTTTGAATACTTACACAATTTATTTTTTAATTAATATAAATTTAAAATTTATCGTGTATTTTGAATATCAAAATTTATCCTGCCGTCTCTCTTGTGTTTGGAGTTACTTGTCCTAAAGTGGCATTAGAGCCTAATCTTGTTAATGACTAATCTTCCTAGAAGAAAATGATTTCAAGCAATTAATTAAATAATCCTCCATCATTTAATGGAGAAGGATATAGTTTGTGAAAAGAGAAAATAATGTTTTTCATACAAGGGATGAGTCATGGTGTTTGGAAGGCGCCGAAGGAATGTCAATTTTTTCGTACACGGATAGAAGTACCTATTATAGTTGATCAACGTCATTAAAAAATACAATATTTATCCATAATTTGTCCTGAACATCGCACAGATAGAAGTACCAATATTTAAAAATGAAAAACATTTTAATAACCATCAAAATTCAATTTCAAATTACATTAAATTATTGAACATTAATAATAAAAGAAAGACAAGATTGTTTAACCAAAAGAATATATTATTTTCAAAAGAGATAATAAACTCGTGCCTATAATTATTTATATATATATAAAAATATTTTAATCAATAATATATATTTTTTGTTTATATTTATATTAAAAATACTTTTATTTTTGTCAATTCTATTTTAAAAAATAATCAAACATATTAAAATCAATTACACACCTTTATGATTATTTATGAAAAAAAAGAATGACCAACATTTTTTTATGCTGTTTGAACCAAAAATTGTAATTATTATTGTAATCATGACTATATAATATAAACGCTATAAAATAATATTAATATTTTACCTTAAGTTTGGATTTTTTTTAAATAAAATGATTTATATTAAATTCCAAAAAAATAAAAATACAGCGCAAAGCGGTTCGAAGACACGGCCAAGAAACAATACAACCAAACCAACACCAACAAAACTTAAGGCATCATTAGAATACTAATATGCCTCATAAAATTGAGTTTTTTCATACAAAGACAGCGCTTTATGAAAAAGCGCTGATAAAGAGTCATGAAAAAAATAGCATACCTTAGACAGCGCTTTAACAAAAGCGCTGCTAAAAGTAGGCCTAAGAAATCGCTTTATAAAAAGCGCTGCTAAAAGTATGTCTTAAGAAAGCGCTTTTTTAAAACGCTAGTATAGGTCTAACCTATGAGAGCGCTTTCTAAAAGCGCTACTAAAGAGGGGGGAGTCTAAAAAAGCACTTTCTACAAAAGCGCTGCTATAGGGGTACAAAAGAAAGAGCTTTTAAAAAGCGCTACTATAGGTCCTGCCTAAGGCAGACCTTAGATAGCGCTTTTCAAAAGCGCTGCTATAGGTCCTGCCTAAGGCAGACCTTAGATAGCGCTTTTCAAAAGCGCTGTTATAGGATTAAGTAGAATAAATTTAAAAATACCCACCAGAATTTTTTCCAGAAACAGAACAGTTGTGTATCCTTCTTTCATTCTTTCCCTCTCGTGAACGTTGCCTTATTCACCGTCGATGCATTCCGTCCATTATCTCTGTCCGACAGCCTCCGCCCGTCGTCGTCCTCCGTTCATTCCATCGTGCATTTCGTTTCGCTGCCGTCCGTCCGCGCATTTCCACCATTTCCGTCATCTCCATCATCCACTGTCAGCGCATTTCCACCATTTTTACGGTATTTGAAGTTCTTCATTTTTCATTTTTCTCGATTATTCTCTTGGTTTTTCATTTTTCTGAACTAATAGATTTAAACTTTCGATTGAAACTGATTGTTTATTGGTTGTAAAGTTAGTGGATGTGGTGGTATATTTGAACTTTGGATTGAAACTGATTGTTTATTGGTTGTAAAGTTAGTGTAACTAATTCAGTTAATGTTTGGGGCAGGTTTGTTTGCAATTAGTGTAGACACGAATATGTTAAGGATTTCATGAAGAAGTTAGTTTTTGAATTGTAACACTGTTAATCTTTCTATTAGTAATAGTTAGATGGAATTAGGATAGGGAGAGATTGAAGGTTAGTCGTTAGGGAGTTAGTGTTAAGGATTAGTTAGAACTATTGGTTAGTTTTTGAGCTTGAATTGAAGTTAGTTATGTTAAGAGTTTAGTTTATGTTAATTTATTGAGATGTTAATTTGACTTTGAATCTCACTTGGTGTTGTGAAGCTGTTAGAATAACTACTTGACAGTCAATGAAACTTGCTTGTAAAAAATATGTTAGGCATAACTTTCTTTAAGTTTTCTCGTTTTTTATGGTATATTATTTTTTTATGGTATTTTATTTTTTTCCCTCATTTTATAGTTCCTTAGTTGTTCCACCTTTTTCTTTTAATATTATCAGACTTTATTAAAATAAATTATCAACTATACAAGAAGTTGTTACATTATTGCAAGTTTTATCAGCAATTAATGTTCCAAAAATTATTTAATGTTGGTGATGTTGAAGAGTAAGGATTGTTTCCAAGAATCCTATCCTATGCTTCAAAGGATTGTAATCGAGTCGAAGAGATTGCAAAAGCACTTGAAGAAGATCTTAAGGATTCTCCCAAGATGTTTAAGAGGTTTTTCACTTTTTTATTAAAAAAATTTAAAAATATTATTATCTAACTTGGTATACAAATCATCGAGATTATCAATTTTTTTTAACACATTTTATTGTTATACGAATAATCATTATGACAACTTTGAAAATAATAATGAATTTCATTGTAAATTAAATAAACATTATGACAACTTTGAATATAGAAATATTAATATACCTTTAGAATGATATCAACTTATTTATTGTAATACATTACCGAATAAATACAAATTAAATATCTGTATTGAGATGATGTAGTACAGCAACAAAAACCTGAGAAACTTGACCAACCATGTTAGCATATTCTGGAAGCATGGATCTATCATGGTAAGGATAATGAGAGTCACCAGGTGAATCTCCTGAAATACAATTATCAACATGAATATAAACACCAAGTGCCTCACTAAGCACATTATCGTATTCTCCTATTTTCATATAATGTAGAGTCGCCTTAAGAATGTCGGCAATTGCATCAAAATGAACTAAACATGCATCATAATGATATTTTGCTTCAGCATCACCCCCACTTTTTGATAATAGCATGTTGAGTAGTTTTATGGTGTTTGTTGTGTTGGCTATTGTTACGTCCATTGTGTATTGCGCAAGGCTGACGAGATCTCGACTTGCGCCGGGTTTTGAATTCAGAAGAGTTAAACAAAATGAAGGATTTTTTACTCCCTTGCAAATTGTATCAATATCCACAGTTTTCACTGCGTAAGAAGATGCAACACATAAAAGAAAAACTATTGCAAGTGAAGACAAGTGAGCCATTGTATTCTCTAATAGTATTATTGGAAATTCTCGTTCCTATTTATATGTGTGGATCATATGATTCTCAAACAATTAAAAATAATAGCATAATTGCAGGGATATAATGGTAAGTTGCATTAATGCACGTTATTATATAATATTTTAATCAATAATTTCATGTTGCTATTATAATTATTTTAATTTGGTGTTTTAAAAAATAATAAATTATGATTTTGGGATTTGGATCCTCTCCTTTTTTTATATATTCTGTCATCTCTCATATTTCTAATTTAACGGTTCAGAATTTATAATGAATAATTAAATAAAAAAATTATTTATTAGAATTTATAATAAATAATTAAATAAAAAAATTATTTAATAAGAGAGAAATAGATAAATAAAAAAATCATTTAAATAAAAAAAGTTATTTAATTATTCATTATAAATTCTGAACGTTAGATTAGAAACATGAAAGATAGCAGAATATATAAAAAAAAATCTAAATCCATGATTTTGTGTTTTACCATTCATTGTTTTTTTTTTATAGTTAATTAACATCATTAAAAATATTAATTAATAACAATAAAAATCTTAAATTAACAAATAAATATCATATATTAAGTAATTTAAATCCTCATTACTCATTAAAACATGATTTTTTTGATAATAATAGTTTAAAGCAAAGTAAATTTTCATTAAATCTATTAAATTTGTTGTCTTGTAATCAATCATAGTACACAAATATTTTAATAAGTAACAAAATCCAATTTTGTATTAGATTAAATTATTGAACATTTATAATTAAAGATAGACAAAATATTTTAAACAAATGAGTTTATTAGTTTTAAAATAGAAAATTAACACGTGTCTCTAATTATTTATGTATATAAAAATATTTTAATCAATTATCTATTTTTTTCGTATATATAAAAAGCAAATCAGTTATACAATTTATTGCACAAAAATGGAAAGATTAAATTTCAATTGAGAGTTCGTGTGATTTGTTTTGGACACTCTCAAATTGCAATAATTCTGCAGAAGAGGAAAGTCTTCCTATACTTTTCCTAAATGAAAATGTATAACTAATAGATATTATTAAGGGATTAGAATAATAAAAAATATGGTTATAAGGAATAATTATTTTTAATTATTTTATAGTTGATTAACATCATTAAAAATATTAATTAATAACAATAAAAATCCTAAATTAACAAATAAATATCATATATTAAATAATTTAAATCCTCATTACTCATTAAAATATACTTTTTTATAATAATAGTTTAAAGCAAAGTAAATCTTCATTAAATTTATTAAATTTGTAGTCTTGTAATCATAGTACACAAATATTTTTAAATGAAAAATATTTTAATAAGCACCAAAATCCAATTTCATATTAGATTAAATTATTGAATATTTATAATTAAAGATAGACAAAATATTTTAACCAAAAAAAGGTTTATTATTTTTAAAATAGAAAATAAACATGTGCCTATAATTACTTACGTTTATAAAAATATTTTAATCAATAATATATTTTTTTTTCATATATAAATATTATTTTTTATTTGATATTATTTATAAAAATATTTGAATTAATAGTAAACTTGTTTAAATTTTTTGATAATAATAATTTAAAGCAAAGTAAATCCTCATTAAATTTATTAAATTTGTTGAGTTGTAATCATAGTACAAAAGTATTTGAAAATGAAAAATATTTTAATAACTATCAAAATTCAATTTATATTAAATTAAATTATTAAATATTTATAATAATAAAAAGATAAAACTGTTTAACCAAAAGAGTATATTATTATTAAAAGAGATAATAAGTCTGTGCCAATAATTATTTATGTATATAAAAATATTTTAACTAAAATTATATTTTTCTATATATAAATATTATTTTTGGTTTAGTATTATTTAAAAAATATTTAAATCAATAGTAAATTTATTTTTTTTATTATTCAATATTTTAATCAATAATTTCATATTCCGGTTTTAATTATCTTAATTTAGTGTTTTAAAAAATAATAAGTTAGGATTTAGTGTTTTACAATTCACTGTTTTTTTTATAGTTGATCAACATCATCAAAAATATTAGTATTAATAAAAATATTAAATTGATAAATAAATATCATATATTAAATAATTTAAATTCTCATAACACTACGCCAGAAATGACTTTTGACAGCGCATACAAAGACAACGCTTTATGAAAAAGCGCTGCTAAAAAGTCATGAAAAAAAAATGAAAAAAAATAGCATACCTTAGACAGCGTTTTAACAAAAGCGCTGCTAAAAGTAGGCCCTAAGAAAGCGCTTTATAAAAAGCGCTGCTATAAGTATGCCTTAAGAAAGCGCTTTTTTAAAGTACTGCTGTAGGTTTAACCTACGAGAGCGCTTTCTAAAATCGCTGCTAAAGGGGGGTCTAAGAAAGCGCTGCTATAGAGGTACAAAAGAAAGCGTTTTTAAAAAGCGTTGCTATAGGTCCTGCCTAAGGCAGACCTTAGAGAGTGCTTTTCAAAAGCGCTGCTAAAGGCTATGCAAAAGCGCTGCTATAAGCTTAAGTAGAATAAATTTAAAAATACCCACCAGAATTTTTTCCAGAAACATAACAGTCGTGTATCCTTCTTTCATTCTTTCCCTCTCGCGAACGTTGCCCTATTCACCGTTGACGCATTCCGTCCATTGTCTCCGCCGACAGCCTCCTTCTGTCGCCGTCCTCCGTTCATTCCATCGTGCATTTCGTTTCACCGCCGTCCGTCCGCGCATTTCCACCATTTCCGTCATCTCTGTCATCCACTGTCAGCGCATTTCCACCATTTTTACGGTATTTAAAGTTCTTCATTTTTCATTTTTCTCGATTATTCTCTTGGTTTTTCATTTTTCTGAACTAATAGATTTAAACTTTGGATTCAAACTGATTGTTTATTGGTTATAAAGTTAGTGGATGTGGTGGTATATTTGAACTTTGGATTGAAACTGATTGTTTATTGGTTGTAAAGTTAGTGTAACTAATTCAGTTAATGTTTGGGGCAGGTTTGTTTGCAATTAGTGTAGACACGAATGTTAAGGATTTCATGAAGAAGTTAGTTTTTGAATTGTAACACTGTTAATATTTCTATTAGTAATAGTTAGATGGAATTAGGATAGTGAGAGATTGAAGGTTAGTCGTTAGGGAGTTAGTGTTAAGGATTAGTTAGAACTATTGGTTAGTTTTGGAGCTTGAACTGAAGTTAGTTATGTTAAGAGTTTAGTTTATGTTAATTTGTTGAGATGTGAGTTTGACTTTGAATCTCACTTGGTGTTGTGATGCTGTTAGGATAACTACTTGACAGTCAATGAAACTTGCTTGTTTAAAATATGTTAGGTATAAGTTTCTTTAAGTTTTCTCGTTTTTTATGGTATTTTATTTTTTTCCTCATTTTATAGTTCCTTAGTTGTTCCACCTTTTTCTTTTAATATTATAAGGCTTTATTAAAAGAAATTATCAACTATATAAGAAGTTGTTCCATTATTGCAAGTTTTATCAATAATTGATGTTCCAAGAATTATTTAATGTTAATGATGTTATTAATTTTGTGTTACAGGGGTTACCTGTGAAGAGCAAGGTTGTGATCGTTTCCAAGAATCCTACTACGTAGCTTTCTTAGAAGTTGGTGATTTCTTTACAGGTATTCACTGTTTTTGTTTAACTTTTTTAGTTTAGTTTAGCCTACTTAATTAGTATGGATAAAAAATGGATGTCTTCTAATCGATTGTCAAAAGAGTACGAGAATGGGGTATCAAAATTCGTTAAGTTTGCTGTTGAACACGCCAAAGACCCCAGTAGGATCACATGTCCTTGCTTAGGTTGCTGTTATGAGCGTCGGATTGACGTCGTTCAGTTGGAATCTCATTTAATGAGACATGGAATTGATCAAAGTTTTACATGTTGGACATTACATGGTGAGATAAGTAACGAGAATGTCGAACCCGGGGATAATACGACCTATGCTTCAAAGGACAATGGTATGGATACATGTGATTGTGATCAAGTCGAAGAGATTGCAGAAGCACTTGAAGAAGATCTTCAGGATTGTCCCAAGATGTTTGAGAGGTTGGTAAGCGATGCAGAGAAACCATTGTATAAAGGTTGAACTACTTTCACAAGATTGTTTGCACTATTAAAGTTGTACAACTTAAAGGCGGGTAATGGATGGTCAGATAAAAGTTTCACAGAGTTGTTAGCCCTACTACAAGAGATGCTTTCGGAGGATAATGTTCTTCCCAATCGAACCTATGAAGCTAAAAAAATGTTATGCTCTATTGGCATGAGCTATGATAAGATACATGCTTGTCCAAATGATTGCATTTTGTTTCGAAATGAATATGCATCATTAAACGAGTGTCCTAAATGCAGTGTATCTCGGTATAAAAAAAAGTTGTCACCAGCAAAAGTCTTATCGTATTTTCCTATAATTCTGAGATTTAGATGCATGTTTCATAGTGAAACAGATGCAAAACACTTGACTTGGCATGCAGATGATAGAATTATAGATGGGAAGTATCGACATCCGGCAGATTCACCACAGTGGATGAAAATTAATAATGAGTATCCTGATTTTGGAGAAGAAGCTAGAAACCTTCGCTTGGCATTATCGACTGATAGAATGAATCTGCATGGTCTACAAAGTATCTCACATTCCACATGGCCTGTAATTATAATGATTTATAACCTACCTCCATGGCTATGTATGAAGCATAAGTACATGATGTAATCTATGTTAATTTTTGTCCCTAAACAACCAGGGAATGGCATAGATGTATACTTGACACCTTTAATCGAAGGCTTAAAGAGTTTGTGGGAGAACGGTGTGGAGGTTTATGATGGATATAGGAAAGAAAGTTTCAATTTGAGGGTGATGTTGTTTGGCACAATTAATGATTTTCCAGCATACAGAAATCTATCGGGGTATAGCATTAAAGGTCATTGTGCGTGTCCTATCTGTGAAGAAAACACATATTGGACGCGATTGG